CATTTCACAGATAAAGAAACTGAAGCTCAAGAAGTAAAGTAACGGCCAAGGTCACACAACTAGTGACTGGGTTGGGTGTGGCTGAGCAACCACTGTGTGCCAGGGTCTAAGAATACAGGAAACAAGACACTCCTCTCTTTTCTCTACCTAATGAACACCTAGTCACCCTTCAGGAGCAAACTAAAAATATCATCTCTTATGAAACTTTTTGTAAGCCCCTCGCCACCGACAAGTAGAGTTGATAACTTGCTTCTTTGTATACCCCTCTGAAATAGCACTTTTCACAGTTATTGTAATGAAATGCTTCTATACGTCCATTTCTCTAACTTTGAGCATCTTGGCAACAGGGTCTGTTTACTATTCATTGCCACTTGGATGTCTGATAGACATCTCAAACTCAACATGTCCAAATCTGGACACCTGATCTTTTTCGCCCAAATGACCCCTCCCCTAAAGCGGTCCTCATCTCAGTCGATGGCAGTTTCACCTTTCCAGTTGCTGTGGCCAAAAAACCTTGGAACCACACCTCATATTCAGTCTGTCAGCAAATCCTGTTGACTCTCTCTTCAAAATACATCCAGAATCCAATCACTTCTTATCACCTCCAGTGCTACCACCCTGGTCCAAACCACCATCACTCACGTCTCTCTGGCATCACCTCAGTAGCCTCCTGACTGGTCTCACTGCTTCACCCTTGTCCCCTGTGGCCTATTCTCCACACGGAAGCCAGAGTGATCCTGCTAAACACAAGTCAGATCATGTCAGTTCTCAGCACAAAAACTCTCCAATGGCTCCCCATCTCTCTCAGAGTAAAGCCAAAATCCTTCAATGGCCTACAGGCCCTATACAATCTGGTCTCCTACTAAATCTCTGATCATATCTCCTAGTACGTTCTCGCTCTCACTCTGCTCCAGCTACTTGGTCCTCCTTGCTGTTTCTTGAACAAGCCAGATGCACTTCTTACCCATGACCTTTGCACTGGCTCTTCCCTTGCTAGGTATACTCTTCTGCATGGCTCCCTTCCTCACCTCCCTCAAGTCTTTGTTCAAATGTCACTTTCTCAGTGAGGCCTACCTTGACCAGCCTATTTAAGATTGCCTCTATTCTAATTTCCAGTTTACAGTAAATACAGGGTATAGAGGAACAAGATAAATGACACCACGAGGGGAAAAAAAACAACAACAGACAAATCCAGAAGTAGGATATTCTACAAAACAACTGAGTTGTACTTTGCAAAAAGCCAATGTCATTAATTAAAAAAAAAATAAAGATGGGAGACTTCTAGTTCTGGACCCAAGTGGAGTAGACATGCTTCTCCCTATTTCTCCCACTAAGGACAGCTAAAACTCTTTATGTGATATATAAAACAAACATAGGAAGATGCTAAAAGAAGGAGAAAAGGACAGACTTGACTAGGTGACTTGACTAAAAACAAAAACATGAACAGAGCCTCAGAGACATGTGGGACTATAACAAAAGACGTAACATTCATGTCATCAGAGTCCCAGAAGGAGAAGAGAAAGGGTGGGGGCGAAAAAGTCCTCAAGAAATGATGGCTGAAAATCCCCCAAATCTGGCAAAAGACATAAACCTACAGATTCAAGAAGCTGAACAAACCCGCAACACAGGATAAAGTCAAATCCATGCCAAGACACATTATAATCAAACTTTTAAAAATGAGACGAAGAGAAAATCTTGAAAGCAGTAAGAGAGAAACACCACTTTACCAACAGGGGAAAAACAATTCAAGTATCAGTGATTTCTCACCAGAAACCATGGTGGCCAGAAGGAAGTGGCAACAACCTATTTCAAGTGTTAAAAGAACTGCCAAGCCTGGATGCTATATCTAGTGAAAATATCCTTCAGAAATGAGGGAGAAATCAAGATATCCTCAGAAAAAGGAAAGCTACGAGACCATGACACCAGCAGACCCACCCTAAAAGAGTGGTTAAAGGCAGTTCTCAAAACAGAAAGGAAATGCTAAAAGAAGAAATCTTGGAACATCGGGAAGGAAGAAAGAATAGAATGAGTAAAAACGTAAGTACGTACAACAGACTTTCCTTCTTCTCTTGAGTTGTCTAAATAATGTTTGATGGTTGAAGCAATAAGTAAAACATCATCTGATGTGAAGCTCAGTATATGTAGAGGAAATATTTAAGACAACCATACTATAAATGAGACATGGTAAAGAGACCTAAAGGGAGGTAATTTTTTTACACTTTCCTCAACCTTTTAAAATGACGACACCAGTAGGTCTTTGTGGTGATGAAATAGTTTTGTATTTTGATTGCAGTGGTTGTTACAGAAATCTCTGCATGTGGTAAAATGGTATAGAACTATACACACACTATACCAATGTCAATTTCCTGGTTTTGATATTGTACTATAATTATGTAAGATGCAATCATTGAGGAAAACTGGGTGAAGGGTACACGGGCCCTCTCTGTGCTATCTCTGCAACTTCCTTGTAAATCTATAATTATCTCAAAATAAAAAGTTTTTCTTTTAAGATTGGGGCTGTTCTAGTGGCTAAAGACATGAATGCAATGTGACAGCCTTGATTAGGTTCTGATGTTAAAAAAGATAAAAGGCGGGGAGGGGGAAGGGTGAGCTGTGACAAAGCGAGACAGAGGCATGGACATATATACACTACCAAACGTAAGGTAGATAGCTAGTGGGAAGCAGCCGCATAGCACAGGGAGGTCAGCTCGGTGCTTTGTGACCGCCTGGAGGGGTGGGATAGGGAGGGTGAGAGAGAGGCATGGACATATATACACTACCAAACGTAAGGTAGATAGCTAGTGGGAAGCAGCCGCATAGCACAGGGAGATCAGCTCGGTGCTTTGTGACCGCCTGGAGGGGTGGGATAGGGAGGGTGGGAGGGAGGGAGATGCAAGAGGGAAGAGATATGGGAACATATGTATATGTATAACTGATTCACTTTGTTATAAAGCAGAAACTAACACACCATTGTAAAGCAATTATACCCCAATAAAGATGTTATAAAAAAAGATAAAAGGCAAGTTTGGAGAAATTTGAATATAGACTGGACATTAGACGATATTAGATGATATGAAATTATTGTTAATTTTCTTAGATGTCATAATCATATTGTGGTTATGTGGGAGAATGTCTTTATTCCCACAAGATGAATGCTGAAATATTTAGGGGAGGAGTGTAATGAAATCTATAACGTACATTTGAACGGTTCAGAAGAAATTGTAGATAGATCGATAAAGCAAATATAACAAGACATTGCCAGTTGTTGGCTCTATGAGGAAGATATATAGGTGTCCCTTGTACTGTTCTTTCAACATTTCTGTATATTTGCAAATTGTCATTTTTTTAAAAAGTTGGAGAGGATATGTGGAGGATATACATGTGATAAAGCAAGTATAGTAAAATGTTAATGAGAATCTAGGTGGCAATTGGATGTTTGTTCCCTGTAAAATTCTTCCAGTTTTTCTGTATGTTTGAAAATTCTCATGTTAAAATGCAGGGGTAAAAAACTTGAAGAAAAATGATCACAACCTCATGTCCTTCCCTAGTACTCCCAATCCTGCTTTCTCTGCTCTTTTTCTTTTTTCCCATAGCACTTATCACCATATATCGTAGTATATACTTCATTTATTTATTGTGCTATTTTTTGTCTGTGCCCTTTCACTAGAATGTGAGCACCCCAAGGGCGGGGATTTATTGTGTTTTGTTCTGTTTGCTGCTATATCCTCAAATCCTAGAACAGTGTCTGGCACATAGCAGGTGCTCAGTGAATACCTGTTGACTTAAGAATGAATTTCTGTAGCCCTAGGGCTTAGGTCAAGGTCTTGCACAGAGTGGGTGTGCAATGAATGTTCGTTGAACTGAGATCTGAGATCTGCAGGAGAACTTAGAATAGACCTGTTGGACTTGAGTGGTTCAGAGCGTGGACTCTGGAGTCAGATGGCCAGGATTTGCATCCTGATTCTGTCACTTCCACCTGTGTAACCTAGCTGTATTAACATCTCTGAGCCTCAATTTCTCGGTAAAAGTCAGATAATAATAGTAGCACCTTGGTAAGCGTTTTGTTTGCATGTAAAGCACTTAGGACTTTGTGAAGACTCAATAATTGGTAGCTAATGACAAAGAGAACAGCAAAAAGATAAGAGTTTTCCCAGCATGTCATCCTTCTTCCATCCGCCAACAGACTGAGCCAGGAGAGGCTAAGGAAATGTCCTTGGATAAGTATTCCCAACTTCTTCTCCAGACACCCAGATTTCTTTCACTTCAGACCTCTTCTTACCTTTCCTTCTGCCCTGGACTTTCTTTACTCTCTTGGCATCCTGAAGCTCTTTCCCCCATCATAACCATGCAGGAGTGGAGTTGAGGAGACAGGAATCTGTGCACCAGGGGCAAAAGCTTAGAGCTTTCCTTTCCTTCTGTTCTAGGCTTGAGTCCCTCATTGGTGATGGAAGCAGGTCAAGTGTGAGGTTGCAGTCATTTCGGGGCCTAGAGGTTGAGAGAACAATAGTCCTGAGGAAGAGGCCCTGACAAGAGAGTAGCCTCCTAAGCTGCCCTCTCCCTTGGTCCCCTGTTAGGAGAGAGCACCTCCCTCACCCTGCTCTAACGTCCCTTCGATCTGTTCTGCGGCCTCAAGTCTTTACTTCTGGTGGCCCCAGCTCAGAGCAAGCCCGGGGACCCATTGAGCATCTCCCTGCAACTCCCTCTTGGTAGTGGGGTGGCGTGGAGTGGGCCGAGGATAGGCTGAAATTGGAGATGAGGGGGCACGAGAGTGGGGGCTGAGCTCACCCGTGGCACAAGTCCCCTGTCCCTGCCCTAGGGTTGGCCCTACCCCCGATATCTGGGGAGCTGGGGCTGAGCCTGGGGGCGCCACTGCCTCTGTT